CCCCTCCTCCTGGTTCTCCTCCCCCTTCTCCTCCTCCTCCTCCTGTTTCTTTCCCCCTCCTCCTCCAACATTTTCCTTCCCCTCTTCTTCCCCTCCCCCTTCCCTCCTCCCCTTTCCTCCTCCTCACCTCCTCCTCCGAATTCTCTTTTGCCCCCGCCTCCACCTCTGCCTCCGTCTCTTCCAATCTGTCAGAAGAACAGAAGAAGCAGAAACTGCAGTTGTAGACGCTGGGTATCTCCACGGAGCAATACTGCTAGTGTGTGATTATTTCGATAGCTCAGGGTATGTCAGTATATAATCTGCGAGGGGAGGCGGATGAGGTAGCACTGCGTTCAGTTTCGCGAGCTGGCTGTTTTGTGAATGTAGACGATTGCTGGAGGTCTTGTGAATGGGTTATTGGGGAGGATGGGAAGGAATGTATTGCTCCTTGTTATAATTTCTTTCTCTCCCCCTCTCTGTGTCGTTTGCTTTCCCGGAGCTGTAGCTCTTAATGCTTGCCTAAGTGGCGTCATCCAGTTGAAATTGAATCGACCCATTAGAACTCCCCATAGGAATCTCTGTATCCGGTCCCTGGGTAATGACTGAAACAAAATGTAAAGGGGAGTGGGGGTGGGGTGGAGAGTAACAATTTCAAGGAGGCCTTATTTAAATATCACTGCCAATCACATTCTTACCAAGCCCCTCAGCCCTTGCTGAGTGATTGCAGCTTCAATCAGATAGAGGGACGTTTCATTTGTTTAAGGGTTCCTCACACCTTTTTCTTATTCATTTCCACGTTTTCTGCACTAATGATTGTCCATCCATGATGCACTAGAAAACCATTACCCAACTTACATTCCCTGTCTTCCTTAAGTACGTCATACACTCTACAACACATATTTTTTGAGTGCCTTCCTTTGTGCTAAGTGTGTGGATTCCTGCCTTCATGGAGCCTCCCTGGGACTGCCAGCATTCTGAAAATAAAGCAACCTTAATTTAGTTTTATAAGGAAGGACAAAGCTTTCTCTAAATTACCTTCAGCCCACTATTTAATTCAATAGGAAGGGGGTATTCCTTCTGGGCATCCAGATCGAACCAACTTGAATAAAAGCAAGCTTCACATTTCAAATAAATGAGATCTGATTTCAAGTCCTGTTTCAATGGACACAGGGCAGGAGCTTGGCCATCAACATTCTTAGGATGCTTTGGTTACCCCATCTATAAAATTGTGATGGTAATAGTGATACTTTAAGAATATAACAAATTTGTGAGTCCAGATACTAAGATTATTAGTCTTCCTCTCTTTGTGTGAACTTTGCAATTTACTCCCTCTCTAGAACCTTGATTTCTACATCAGTGAGAGGGGATCTGATTAGGTAAGTGCTTAGGTCCCTTCTAGCTTTGACATTTTATATTTATACCCTCTTGGGTGTGTTAGGAAGACAAAAGAAAGTATGAGGTTTTAAAAATGTATGATTTTGTGCACTGTGTTAAAGACACCCCAAAATCCCATTGATACGAATGTATATGTATAATACATACATATATTTCTTTTTTATTAGTATAAGGGAATTGGTACATATACATATTTAAATCTTGATCATATTTACTCCCTCTTCCCTCACCCACCCCAGTCCCACTTCCCTAGATCCCCATAATTTATAAGATAATTTGTATCTACTTTACCAATCAAAATTTTCACTATTTTTGCTATGTAAATTCTTCTTTTTTGTAACTCAAGTGTCTTTCTTATACTTGAATTTTTTGAGATCTTGAAAATCTGAGGATCATCTGCAAAATAGGACAGATTATTGATTTTTTTTTTTTGTACTGGGGATTGAACCCAGAGCCTTTACACTGAGCTACATCCCTAGCCCATTTTTTTTTTTTTATTCTTATGTGTTATTTTGAGGGAAAATCTCACTAAGTTGACCATGCTGGGCTTGAACTTGATGTCCTCCTGCCTCCGCCTACCATGCTCTGCTTCTTCATATAGTTTTTCAACACATATTTATTGCATATCAACTATGTATCAAGCACTGCATTACTAACTAGATCAGGGTTCACAGTTTTGCTCCACAACTTGGGAACTGACTTTGGCATTTAAATTCACCTTTCTGAGATTGGGTCTTCATCTTTAAAATGAAAGTAAAAATAGTACCTACATCACAGGATTGTGCTGTTCTCCTGTAGATTGAATAAATTCTTGCATTTAACAATTTTATCATGTTATCTGGCATATGGCAAGCACTCAATGAGTAGTAAATGAATGTTAAGAAATTATCCTTGCCCTAACGTAGCCCACAAGAGAGACAAGAGATTATTTCAATTTGAAGTTCTTTCATTTATTTTGAAAGTACAATCTTAAATTTTAATAAGTAGGTTGTCCAATTCTTTTCCTTTACTTTGTAGGGCTGGCTTTCATTATAAAAATGAAAACAACTCTGCTAATTCTACTTTTCACCTCTTAGGATGATGCCCACAACAAAAAATAAATATGTTGATATTCATTCATTCAGGAATTCCTACTATGGGCTAAGTGCCTACACTGACTACGTGTTGGTAATTCAACAACTAAATTTCACACACTACAGAAGTTGACATCCAACTGAGTAGGGAGACGTATTTTTTTCTGTCAGATGGCATTGTATGCATTTTATGTTTTTCTATTTAATTTTCAAAACATCTATATGAGGTATATTTATAAATTGTAGTGACTTTACAAATGAGAAGCAAAGGTCCAGCGAAATTAAGTAACTTGCCCAAGATTTTACAGCTAGTAAGTTGGAAATTGGTTATTTAATTTAGGCCAATTCATTCTAGAGCTTGCACTCTTATAGCAAAACATTTATTGGTACATTTTAGACACACATTGTGATAGCACTTATCATAGGGAATTTGCATCTATACATGATACATCCCACCAAGCTTGCACACTTAACCACTACACCATAGTACTCAACCGTCTGCAAATCCCTTCAATGAGTTTTCCTGTAACTCTTCTAGAATATTTAGTGACTGCTGTGGTTGTAATGTTTCTTTCTCCCCAAAACGTCTATGCTGGAAACTAATCACAAATGTGATAGCATTAGGAGGTGAGGCCTTTAACAGTTGATAAGACCACAAGGTTAAGCCCTCATGAATGAAGTTAGTGCCCTTATACCAGAGAACCTAGAGAACTGCTTTACATTTCATCATGTAAGGACTCAAAAGGAAGGCACCATCTATAAGTCAGGAAGCAGAGCCTTACCAGACATCAACAGTGTCTTGAACTTGGACATCTCAGTCTCCAGAACTATGAGAAATAAATTCTGTTCTTTATAGGTTACCTAGTCTAACATATTTTGTTATAGCAATCCAAACAGACTAAGATGGTGTCCTCGAATAGTCCATATTATTGTATACACCTTTATTTTGAATGTCTTGTTCATGCTTCCTGAAATGCCTTCCTAAACTATATCCTTTAGACATATCCCTAAAAGTCACCCACTATAGGAAAAACCTTGCATAATTAGTGGCTTGTCTCTAAAAGATCAATTTAGAGATCTGTTCTGATCTTTGTGTTCCAGTTGCCTCCTTATACTTCACATTATCCCAGCACTTATCATTCTTTATTACAATTATCTATTGCCTTTCTAGACAGTGATTTCTTCTAGGACAGATACAATGTTTATCATAGTCTTCTCTGCTGAATCTCTTGGACCTGACATATTGTTCACTCAGTTAATGTTTATTGAATGAATAGCTGACTCTTGGAAATCTACATAGATATATCTATTTGTACTATACTTTAAGTGATTGTGTTTCCTAAAAACTATTTGTAGTTTCATGGTTTTTGATAGATTATTGCAATATTATAATTATATATAGAAATTTGATGTTGAAACATTACAAAATTCACTGTGTTACCTGACATCTTTTTCAAACTCATTATTGTAACAGTGCATTTTGGAAATATGTTTTCTTAGCTCCATAGTTGATGGTGTGCTTTTCAGAAAACACATTTTGAGAGAGTCATTAAGCTGTCCAAATTCATACCACTAGTTAATGACAGTGTGGGGACTAGAAGCAAATACAGGTCTCCTATCTCCAAATCCAGTCCCTTCTTTCTTTTTATAAGACACTTTGCTGACATTAATATAATTCCAGTTGAATTTATAGATACTGTCTCTGTCAGATCAACTCCTAAGTTTTTGCAAGCCAGTGAATTCCAAAAGAAAAAAAAAAGTAACCTTTAAGGACACCAGAAAAATCTCTCTATCCTTCAAATATATTACTTCCTTATCTGTTTCAGAAATATCTAAGTTATGGTTTTACAATGAATTAAACACATGTTTCTATACTTTATAGCAACTGGTTGCTCAGGTCATTTCTGAGATGACAGTCAAGTCATAAACTTCTGAAACAAGGGAGAGTATTCTAATAGTATACTAAAGAAAGAAGATAAGAGTGGAAGCATTGTATGACTTACAAATACAGAAGTAAATCAGATAGTCAGGGAAGGGTTCATAGAGGAATTAGGACCTAAGCAGAAAGTGAATAAGCCTGTGTGATTCACGCGAAGGGTACATGTGGAAAGTTAGATTGGTAGGAATGTACGTGGAGTCTGAGAAGAGTGAAACATTCAAACTGTCTTAGGAAGAGGTACACTGAAGAAAGAAACGGAATGTGGAGTGTTGGAGAAAATCTTCAGGGGCAGGCAGAGTTATTTTGACGGAATCGAAATTGGGAATAAACTTTTGAATAAAGAGATAAGATGTTAAAATAAAGCACATTTAAAAAAGAAGCACTAGGCATAACATATTGGAGGGGGAGATACTCAAGTCAGGTTAGCCAGTTTAGAGTATTTTGGATCCGTCTAAATAGGGTATGATGAGGACTGAGGTAAGGAACTCACAGTGAGAATGGAAAGTAAGGACAAGATGTTTTCTGCTACATATGGCGATCACGTCATATGTGGCAATGATGATGGTGAAGGTCAGTTTACAGGAATACATATATTAAGGTTGGAAAGAATTTGGGAGGTCACATTGTCAAGCCTCCATTATAAAATTATATTCTAAACACCAAGCTAGCTGATTATCTTGATTTGTTTTTTACACTGAGCCACGAATATTATTCAGCCTTAAAGACTGCGAAAGTGTGATTTTTCTCTATAATCTTTTTCATTGTCTCATCATTCATTATGCTGAATTATCATATGGTT